AACCATTTTCATGCAGGAACTGTCCTTTTCTTGTACGTAAATACACTTTGTTGCTTGGTGGCAGAGTCAACTGATCAATTATGCACCTCCTTTTGGTTGTTGTGATATTCATTTTTGCTGCTTAGATGAGATACAAACTGGGACAAATTAAAGCAGAGAGCCATCAAATTTTATGGTTGTAGGAGCCTTTTAATGCTAAAAAGACACATGATATTATGGAATATGGATGTAATTGTGATGTTCATTTATTTGTTTCTGCAGAAATAGCTCAATCGGTTAGCATTTGAGATAAAACTTAATAATGAATGAATTATGATATGAATTGTTACATGAATGCATAAATATTACCTTTTGAAATAAACAATTAAAAGATCTAAAGTCAGCTTTGAATAACATCGAACTGTAAAATTAGTCTTATAAAAATATAGATTGGACCAATGAATATTTGAGCTACTTCAGGTTCAATTCTTCTTTTATTTACTTTTATAACCCATAATATTTTCTTACATTTTTAATCACTATTCATATGTGTTGTGTGTAAAATTCATCCCATTATAATATTTCGTCGATGAACAATAATGGATGTGTTGAAAAATAATGGAGTAGATCTCATTTCTTATTCTATAATTTATATGAATAGTAAAAATTTGATAATATTAGCATTTCTAGGTAATTAATCATTCATCCCACCCATTGGAATGATCATTTAGGTATGACCATAAAGGTAGAACCTGTTACATGATGACACCATTAGGCAGCCAATTTTGACTCTCTTCTATAAATTAAGGAAGAATTATAATAAAAACGTTTGTTTTTCAAGCAACGGTCTAGATAATCTTGAGCCGAACAAGTTTGAATTAATCTTCAGTCAAGGTCAACTGTAATAAATGGAATTTGGCAACCGTTTCCCCTATAAATTCAAGCAACCCTTTGAGATGCCTTAAAATGTTATGAAAAATACAGGAAACATGGGTAACTTAAGCCTATGCCTAGCTTTTTGGCTTTGCTTGTTAGCTAGTACTGCCACTGCCCAACAATGTGGACGCCAAGCAGGTGGCCGGACTTGTGCCAACAACCTTTGTTGCAGCCAGTTCGGTTACTGTGGCACTACAGATGAATATTGTTCACCTTCTAAAAGTTGTCAAAGTAATTGCTGGCCTAGTGGTGGTGGTGGCGGCGGAGGCGGTGAAAGTGCCTCCAATGTGAGGGCTACTTATCATTTCTACAACCCTCCACAAAATGGATGGGACCTAAATGCTGTGCGTGCTTATTGCTCAACTTGGGATGCAAACAAGCCCTTGGCCTGGCGCCAGAAGTACGGATGGACCGCCTTTTGTGGACCAGTAGGGCCTCGTGGCCAAGCATCTTGTGGAAGATGCTTGAGGGTGACAAACAGAGGTACAAGAGCTGAAGCAATAGTAAGAATTGTTGATCAGTGCAGCAACGGAGGCCTCGATTTAGATGCGGCTGTGTTCCAGCAGATTGACACGGATGGAAGAGGCTATGCGCAAGGCCACCTTATGGTAGATTATCAGTTTGTCAACTGTGGGGATTGAAGCACTCAAAGCCTATTCAAATGATGTAACAATAAGAGATTTCCGCTTATGAATCAAGCTGCATAAGGAATAAAAAGCAATTGAAGTTATTGAATAACAGCAAAAAAATAATTAATGTATCAATTGTCATGTCTTGTAACTTTTATAATAAACATGTTATAAATGTTCACAAAGACTAATACAAATTAATAAATCATGTCATGATTTATTGTACTCTTTTTATTGATTTATTATACAAGTTATTGAATAACATGTTAGGATTTCGCATTTGGTGATGAAATTGAAGTCCCTCTTATCCTCAGGGTAAAATTCAAAAACACATTCAATCATTCTAAAAGGACATTTAGATTCTTCTTATTTTAAAATAATACTTTTGGTCATTTGATTATGAACATTGTTAGTTAATAGTTAAAAAAATATAATTTAATATTAAATAAATATTTTGAATACAAATACCCTCTCTTATAAAAAAAAATTATCTCTTTTCTCTTTCGAGAATGTCAATAAAAAAAAACTACAGGAATTTTGACACGTTTTTTTCTTTTCAAGTTTTCATCTTTTATGCTTCGATTCACTTGAAGAATTTTCTCTTCCCTCTTGGGATTTTTTTTCTTTTTCTCACAACTTTAGTTTTTTTTTTTAAGATAAATTATTGTATTCATTAGGCGATCGAGGAGTTACAAAATATTGTTTCAGTTTTCACCAGTTTAGCTTAAAAACTTTACACCGTAACCTACAAGCCCTTACAAAAACTATAAAAACTTGAACCAGCATGAGTGTTGGGTTGTCTTGCCAAAAAATACCATGTATTTTTAATTGTGGATTAACAGTGTTAACAGTCAAATGGTTAAAAGTATCATTTTAAAATAAAAAGAATCAAAATATCTTTTCAGAGTGATTAGAGGGGATATTTGGATTTTACCACTTATCCTCATGTTAGGCTTGATTATCATCAAGGTGGCATATTTGTGTCCCAAAGCACATTAAACTCAACATCAGAAAATCAGCCACCCAAGGTTTGTGTCGTTCCTTCATTCAAGGTTTATCGTTTATGTATAGGTCCTGTGAATCACTTTTTAAGTAGTGTGGTAAGCCTGGTTGATCGTCACTCAACAGTCTCGAACCAAACCTAACATCAAACTCAGCAATAATTACCATCTATGTTCACCATTCTTTATCATTTGTGTGTTAAAAGAAGAAAAAATCTTGTATAATATAAAATTGCATAAATTTCAAAGAAATCTAAATTATATATATTAAAATTAATTTTAATTTTAATTAATTAACAGTATTATAGTATAACTCTAACAAGATATTGTAGTCTAATAATTAGATAATAAAATTATATAATAATTTTAATTAAATAATTTATATAATTATCTTAACAATTTGTGATCACACGAGTCACGTCTGATTTTCCAAACCTTAGAAGACTTAACCATATTCATGCAGGAACTGTCGTTTTCTTGCATACGGCACATTTATATAAGAATTAATTAAAGGTTGGTGCTTGGCAGCAGAGTCAACTCATCAAATTATGCACCTCCTTTTGGTTGGTGTGATATTAATTTTTGCTGCAAAGTGGGAAGACGAAGCTGATATCCACCAAACTTTAAGGTTAAAGGAGCCTTTGAACCTAAAAGGACACATGGTGTTCATATATTTGTTTCAATAAAAATAGCCCAATCGGTTATCATTTGAGACCAAACTTCTAAAGTGATAAAATTTAATAATAAATGAATTATGATATGAATTGTTATGTAAATATATGAATATTCTCGTAATATTAATTTAATTATTACCTTGAAAAATTATAAAATTTAAAGTCGATTTTGAACAATGTCAAATTGCAAAGTTGATCTTATAAAAGTATGCATCGAATCAATATCCACACTTTTTAAGATTGATTGTATATGTATGGATTCATTTAAGATGGTGACGGAAGTGGCGATTAGCTTTTAATTTTTATTTAGAATTGAGTCATTGACTTGATTCATAATCTTATATAATTATCTTTTAATCATCTTTCACAAAATCTTAAATCCATGACTACCCATATAAAATGGTTCAAGATTCAAATTTTAAAATCATTCACCTCATCCCTACCCATTATCAAGTGTGTTTTTGGATGGCATACTCGGTCTAATTGCCAAGCTTTGCTAGGCTTGTCTTTTTCCAAAACAAGAAAAGAAACAAACAATCTTCACGAGGGAGAAAATGGTGAGATTTTCATGGAGGACATAAGAGGTTGTAAAGGGGTGAATCCAAGGGTGAAAGAAGGCCAATAAAAGGTTAGTTTGATCGTGAAACTATGCTGTAAGTTTTTAAATTTTTAACAATGAACATGAAAGATAAACATATACTCGAATAATTGATTCATTGATTAATTCATTAATTCTATATATAAAAAATAAAAATAAAATTTTCTTTTAAACAAAAACATAAAAGACATACATCACCACCTGCGGTGAAAAGAGCATGTGGTGGGTAAAGAGTGGTTGAGGTGGCTCTTCTCTATTGCTGGGCTCTCACAGGAATTTTGCTCCAATCATTGTTTGCTATCAGTCTCTTTGATTGAACACAATCATACAATTCTACCAATAAATACTTAAAAATACCCACCATTTATAATACGTTTAATGAATCTCATTCCTATTTATAAGGTCAATTTATTTATTTTTTTAATGAAAATATAACGATTTATTTATAAAATTTACATATAAAACTTTGAATACTTCTAAATTTTGTATTGCTTTCTAATAAAACTTTACAATATAAAACTTCTAATAAAAATATTAAATTTGTAAAATAGATATCCAATTTAAAATCAATTAACTATAAAATAGAAGACTTTATTATATTTATATGTTTAAAATATTTATAATTTAATCGATTATGTAAATTTTTTTTATCACCACATTAATAAAAAAATTAGATATAAGATGCAAGTGGTTCCCTCCTCCTTGATCTGGTCCAATTCATTAATTAGCTAATGCAAGATGGCACATGGCAAATGAGCATAGAGAAAAATATATAGTTTTGTAGCAAAACAGAAAAGTAAAAATAAAAAGGGAAAAAAAAATTGATTCCACGCATGGAGGTCTTATACATCTACTTTTATGAGCCCTTTATGCATTCTTCAAATGCAGTTAATTAAAAATGTACGAGATTAAAAATTATTATATTCAGATATAATATTTAAAAAAATTAAATTATTTTAAAATTTTAAATAAATTATTATTCTTTTATTATAATTAATTAAATATTTTTATTTTTATTTTAAATTAAATACTTTATTAATTATTATTAATTAAATTATTATTTATTATTTTATATTCACATAATATTGATATAAAATTTACATAAAAAGTTAAAAATGTTACAAGATTATGTTTGATATGTCTATATATAATGTGATATAAAATTAAAAATAAAAATAAAATAGTTTAGAGGTAACTCAACCGCGCGTTAGACCCCGTGCGAAAAGTCTTTGAAGTTTCGTTAGTTCTTGCCTCGTTGAAAACCAATGAAACTTACCTACAATGCAAATACCAAAACCAAAACCAAAATTTTAATATTCTTTCAATCTTCTGGGATCTTTTCTCACCAACAATTCTTTGGAAATCCCGCCATTGTGTTTTTTATTCAATTTATATGTAACCATTGACGATCACAATCACTTTCTTACCCCCTCATGTGTCCTTCTTCCATCACCATTACCAACCATGAACGCCGCAGCCGCAGCCGCAGCCACCACCACTACGGCCCTTCTCAGCTCTCCTTATAAACGTTCTACCAAAGCTAACGGCCAAACCAACAACGTTGACGTCGTCGCTGCTGATAACAAAATGGGTGTTCGTGGAAATGGTGGTGGTAATCATAATGTTTTCAATGGGGGCGTTTATTATGGGAAAGCGTCGTTCCTCAAGTGGACTTTAGATGACGTCATGTACGTGGCTAGATATCATTGGATACCGTGTGTTTTTGCTGCCGGGTTGTTGTTTTTCATGTACGTGGAGTACACGCTCCGGATGGTGCCGGATTCTTCGCCGCCGTTTGATTTGGGGTTCGTCGTCACCCGCTCATTCCATGGCGCGTTGTCTTCGTGGCCGGAACTTAATACGTTATTAGCTGCTCTTAACACGGTATCTATTGGAATGGTTTCTAACTTTTCTCTAAGAAATTTTTTTTTTTTGAAAGTCACTTTTCTCTAAGAAAGTTTGATTACAATAAAAAGCATGATCTGACCATTGGATAAATATGTTTTGGGGTTAGGTGTTTGTAGGGATGCAGACATTTTATATACTATGGACATGGCTAATCGAGGGTCGGCCTAGGGCTACAATATCCGCTTTGTTCATGTTTACTTGTCGTGGGATTCTTGGTTACTCCACGCAGCTCCCATTACCCCAGGTTCTTAACATTTGAAAACTTATCCTTCCCTAATTTGAATTGTTTGATTTCATATCTATAAAATTGGTGTGATAATGTTTGATTGATTTCTGAAGATAATGAACAACACTGTCAATGGTATCTTTGTCTTTGTCTAGAGTTGTCAGGAACAGGGTAGTCGTAATCCCTCTTTCTTAACTCTGGTTGGTTATTGGGTTTGATGATCTGATTCAATCATGGAATGACAGGAATTTGTAGGTTCAGGAGTGGATTTTCCGGTAGGGAATGTATCGTTCTTCCTGTTCTTCTCGGGCCATGTTGCTGGATCTGTGATTGCATCGTTAGACATGAGGCGAATGCGTAGATGGGAATTGGCATGGTTATTTGATACATTGAATGTGCTTCAAGCTGTGAGGTTGCTAGGTACCAGGGGTCACTACACCATTGATTTGGCTGTTGGTGTTGGTGCTGGAATCCTATTCGATTCCCTTGCTGGAAAGTACGAAGACAGCAAGAGAAAATGTGCACTTGTTTCTGGTACCATGAAAGAGGGGTTGTTAAGCTAAGAAGAATTGCTCAAATGGCAATGTTCAAATTTGAAGAAGGCAATGTAAATTGTTGCTCAAAGGGGTAAAAGAAAAATTGGAATGGCAGTTTAGAAAACAAGTTAAAATGGGGTGTCAATGTTCTAATCCTTGTGTTTTTTAATGTGGCCTCTGTTTTCTTTGGGTGCTAACATTGCTTGCTTGCAGTCATTTCACATTTGTCAAAATGCCTTTTGTATAGGATAAGCACGTTAAAGGTATAGCCTAGGATTGTGTTTTGTTCTACTTTCTTTGTCCTGTTCTGGAAGTTGAATTCACGAAAGAACTTTACCTAAGTCCTACTCTTGAAAAATTTTGACCATTCAAAGCATGTGCTCTGCCAATGGTTTTTTGACAGGTCATATCGTGTCATATTCCAAGAATCACAGTCTTCCACATGGTTTTCATGGCACACAAAGCCTTTTCGCTTTCGCTTGTCTTTGAAGTTTGGCAGGGGCCCTGACCTAGTAACCTGGGTAGAACTGGACCAGTTTGATATTGATCCTTAACTAATACTTTAATTGAACATCTTTTTCATTATGCGTTTATTATCTATGCCCTCTAGCTGCTGAACAGTGGTGTTTGATGGTCCTAATTAAAACCAAGCTGATGAGCTTTCAGCACATTTTAACATTGCTTTCCATCTTTCATCATAGTCATGGATATCCTATTCCCCTCTCTGTCCTTTTTCATTAGGTAGACTTGACAGAGATATGATATTTTCAGTTGGAGAGATAATTACCATTGACTAAACTTAATCTTTTTACAATTATCCTGGATGCCAATCTGTTAGCATAAATATCTCTGGATGGCAAGAATTATGCAACTAGTCAAATGAGGCCTTGCCTTCATGTTAAGGCAAAGGGCACGGATGCTGCCGTTTTTGTAAGGGTTTATTGTCAAGCAAATTTTAGTAAGATTCTGCAGAGTTTCTAACCTACTTTCTGATATTATCATACTGTCAATAAAACATTGTTATCTAATTTTAATCCCAACTCCTAACCCTACTTAAGCATCAAAAAGAGAGCTCTAAAGATCCCTGCCACCAAGCAAGTAAAATTCAGTCGAATCATGCGGTGAACTTATTTTAAGGATATATGCCTTATGCTACATTCTATACAAGAATTGTCTCATTTCCATCTTCACAACTGTTACGATATACTGCAACTAATATCAGGGTGGAGATGATAGCCAATTTGTAATAATATTATCCTGTAACTCATTCATATGAATATTTGCAGCTTTATATTCAAATTTCTTGAGAAGTCACAGGCAGGGCAAATGCGCTATGGGACTACCGGTTGATACCAGGGAGTCATTCTGCAAATAGTCTGCCATGGTAACTCTAGACCTCTGCCCAATGATTGTATTAAATGATATGAGATGAGTGACTGAGATGCGGCTGGCCGACACTAGTCCTCAAAATCAGAGTCAATTGGGCATGACCCGTCATCTACATTAGCGAGAGGGTTGTATAAGTGGGAGCTAGGATCCATGCATCCAGGAACCAGATCAAGGCTGCAACGATCACCCTGCAAGAGTGTTCCATTGTAGAGTTCATACATAAAGTTGATGCTAGCAATTAGATGCAGAATAACGAAATGAAGATATAGAATAAAGAAGAAAACAGATAAGAAGTTTATTTACTCCTTCTTTAGATAAGTTCCCGATCAAAACACATCTATCAACAACAACATTTGTGTCTGGAAAGATTGCTCTGTCACATGCACCTTCTTGACTCAACTCCTCTGCCAGCCCCTGCCACAGTAATACAAGATTTCACATGTCTCAGGTTACATCATCCTCTCACTTGTCTAATCTGAACCAATTCAATCATTCCAAATAGAAATTAACTCAAGTGTAAAATGAAACAAAGAAATTCACAATATTGCATGGTTTGGCAATGAGTTCTCTAGTTTATGTCAAAATAAAAAATGAATTCTTCAAATTTACTTTCCAGATCCACCCTCCCTAACCCCTGCCAGCAACATAGAAGAAACATTTTTTCGTAAGGCATGGCTTGCCAAACTTACAAATAGTTACAGGTATGACAATCATGAATGCGAAATGTAATATGTGTTCATAGCACAGGACAATTATCTTCAACCTAGAGGCAGAAGACTCAAAGAGTCCAAGTCCGCATAAATTTACCCGGTTAAAAAATTCAATTGGTCTGTTTTGCCAAGCCTTCGGAACTTGAAACTGTAGTCTGTAAGGACCATCCCAATTGGCTCCATTTGTGAATGAGAAGATCAAGTTCACAGCTGCCAAAGTAAAAGTAGATTTTAGGAGTTGAGGAGAGAGTTGAACTGTCCAAGAGAAAAAAATTTGTGAATGGTACAAACCATGCTTAGGAACGCATATCTGGATGGTGTATATTGGACTATCAGCCTTGCCTCGAGATTTCCTCAGCATTGCTCTCGGTTCACCACCACACATGATAGGCTGATTGAAACCTCCTGCAGAGTTACAGTTGAGTAAGTTGTTAGCCAAGGACTTCAATTATCTACTTGCATACAAAACCTATAGTCGAACCAACAATGAATCAAATACTAGAACCCCTAGATAAACCACTGAAGAAAGAACTACAGGCACCACTCGCTTAACCAATGGTTGAACAGAAACTATAGCTGAGCTATGGAAAATAAATTGTGGAAATTATCAAAGACCATTTGAGTCACGCCATGAACCAAGGTCATTCAACTGTGTGGTATTTGAAATGATTACAAGTTATTCTATCCCCTCTTCTTTCATTTTCTTTTCTTTTTCCCTTTTCTGATGGCACACTCCTGATAATGCAGAATAAAATCAAAATGTTCCTATTTTCCGTAATAATGTCAAGAACAAAATTTCCAAGTGTTGTTATAGAACCAAATGAAGAAAAACTGCTTAATTTATTAAATAACCTTGGTAATGGTGGTAACAACAAGCCTATTAAATACTTCATTTTATGAATAATTTTGTTTTGTACTTTTAGGACATAACAGAAGCCATAGTGTTACATCTATAGTATAACTAGAGTCCTTTCACAGGTAGTACTCCTTGTTTGTACAGACTTTTATGTATTGAAATCTACGGAAACCAATTTGGTTAATTATATTATTAAAGCTAAGAGTGCATGAGCACAAATTACCATTGAAAGCAATGCCATATTCTTCATTTGGAACAAGTTTAGTTGCAGCTGGATTGTAGAAAACCTTCACCTTCTCTCCCTGTCAAAAAAGGCAATCTCTATAGAAAAGAGTTGCAACAGCCAACAGCCTGCCCTTGCTTTCAAGCAACATAAACAAAAATAATAATAATAAAACCAGCAATGCTACACTTACAGCAGTTGGAGGAAGACCATTCATGGTTTTCCAATATACAGGAGCCCTCCCCAGTTCGAACATAGCCCACGAAGGGAGTGCATACCTGTTGGGCAGGAATCTTCAGATTATTCTGTTTGAATGATTAAAAAATTTCAAACACCACCACATTGCATTTTAGAACTTGAGATACATATAACTTCAGCATGCTGCATGTAGAAACATGTAAAAGGTGAATTCCTCCAATTTTCCACTCCCAAAGAAGATATTATTCCTTAAAATGCAAAAACCCAACTCAACAATTCTTTTCAAAGAAAACTCCAAAACCAGAACGCTTTGAGCTTAATGAATCAGCAAAAATAGAAGGAAACTAGAATCCATACTCTTTAATTTGTTCCATAGGATTTTTTGTAACAGTAGCAGCTGCAGTCACTTTTACACTTATCTTAACTAATCTTTTCGTCTTTGTAAAATTCCGTGGCAATGATGCACCCATAAAGCTGCTAGCTGCATCTGAAAAAATTGCAAAACTGTTAGGCATCAGAAATTTGAGGCAAGTCTAGCTATTTTAATTTGCATTTTGAGACACACCAACATTAGTTTGTTCTAGCACATAGAATTTATTGTAGATATAAACAGAATGAAGCAACTGCCAACTCCAAAGCCCTAGGTTACCACCTCATTTTAGAAGCTCTAGTTCATTTGATGGAGACTACGAAGTAAATGACTTGCTCAATGATATTGGATTTTCTGACTCAAATGATATAATTTCAGCTTAGAAGTGTACAGAATTACGCAGGGCAATACAGGATTGAAATTTAAGGGAGTGTTGCGTCCTAAATAATCAAATCTAAAACAGGTCATAGCCTAAGGATTCCTATTTGCCATTCTGCACTGCCTCAAAACCAGAGACCTAGCAAAAACACTGTACTGGTTAATAAACTTGCAAGCTTTTAAGAAAGTAGAAATGCCAACTTATGCATAAAAACCAGAGCATGAATCATGACACAGACAAGCATGAAAAAACTCTTAAATTGAAGGCAAAATGATTGGATAATTCCATTGTTTTCAATATATCTCGCAAGATAATCTAGTTACCATGCTTTGTAATTTAATAACTTATAAAGAAAGATCCTCTTTGCTGCCTGTTAAGGGTACAGTTAGTTCCAGTTAAGCAAGAGTACCTAAGCTGAACACACCATTGGTGATTAAGATTTGTACCCAATTTCGGCTCGAGGGAGCTGACCTTAAATTCCCAAACAAAATCGTGAAAAACGATCTAAGCATTCAAAGATCCGTAATTGGGTTTTAAAAAAGCAGGTCTAAAGAGACTCCCTACTCGGCTTTGAAATAGATGGATTGGCACTTGTACCTCTCACCGACCGCGTGGCCGAAAAGGGTTGAGTCGGAGACGTAAAGATTGACGCGGTTGCCGCCATTTCTCTCACGGGTTTTTCTGCTGCTTTAACTTCCTAGCGAGAGAGTAGCCTTATCTGTCAACCGGGCAAGAAAGGATAGAACCAGAGAAAAGAGGGAACTTTGCTTAGAGAGAAAGAACGAAAGAGAGAAAAAATATCTATCCATCCAAGTAGATTATTTAGAAAATTAGAAGGCTAAAACAAAATCCTAACAAAAGAATATCTGAGTCTTATTTCACCTCACATCTTCTCATCCAAACAAGATCACCTTATCAGCTTTTATCTCCTTTGTCCTTTTCTTTACCTCACTTTTGTCTTTCTATAATCCACGCTTTTTCCCGCTTTATATACTTCATGCTTTGACAATAACACAAAATCTTCAAATTTTGTCGTTTTAAGCACAAACCAACCTTCTCACCAAAGCCAGTCTTCTTATGCTAATAGAAGTCTTCTACCACTCTGGTTCAAGAGTTGTCAGGGCATTCTAACTATCGGTTCAATAAATAATCCATCTTTCAAAAAAAAAAAAGGACAAACCAACCACAACTTTTATAAAACCCAACAAAAACCCAGTTTTTTCTTTAGAACCCCACCAATTGAGACCCAATGGCTTCAATCACATCGTTATTGTCAAAGCCAAAATCCTTACCTTTATCACCTCCTCAAAGAGCGACAACAATAAAAACCAGATCTTGCTCTTGCAAAGTCCTAAACTTTGGCCATCAAAACCCAAAATTCAATCAAATAAACGGAGAGCAGAGTCCTCTGCAGGCGAGTTTTATCACTCGTTTGAATAGGAGTTGCAGCAATAGGAAAGTGTTGGCATTGGCTAATGGGGTGTCAGTTGGGGCAAACGAGCCTGACCCTGAAGGGAAAACCTCGGGTAGAATTTTGTTATCTGATGTGGTGGTGCAAAGGAAGAAGGAGGTGTTTTGGGGAAGAAAATGGAACACTTTGGATATGGCCACTGCTGGTGTTGTTTTAGCCATGCATTTGCTCAGCCTTTTCGCACCTTTTCATTTCAATTGGCCCGCTTTTTGGCTTGCTGTGGGACTCTATGTGGTGACAGGACTTCTGGGGATTACATTGTCTTTTCATAGGAATCTTTCCCATAGAAGCTTCAAGGTTCCAAAATGGCTTGAATACTTCTTTGCTTATTGTGGAGTTCAGGCACTTCAGGTTGGTAGCTTTAAAAATTTTTGAGGAATATTTTCATGGACACGGCAGTATCATTTGATTGTTATATGATTGTTGGTTTTGGTGTTTGCAGGGAAATCCAATTGATTGGGTAAGCACACATAGGTACCACCACCAATTTTGTGATTCTGACAGAGACCCCCATAGCCCCATTGAAGGATTTTGGTTCAGCCACATGAGCTGGCTCTTTGATACCAACACTGTTATTGAAAGGGTAACTCCATCTCTCTCTTTCTCAAACATGCAAGCACTCACATATACACAGAACGAATTAATGTTCTTAATGCTTTGTGTCAATGGAACATTTGCAGTGTGGAGAACCAACCAATGTTGGGGATCTACGGCAGCAGCCCTTCTACAAGTTTCTTCAGGGTACCTACATTCTTCATCCAATTGCACTTGGAGTTTTGCTATATGCTCTAGGAGGGTTTCCCTTCCTTGTTTGGGGAATGGTAAGCAAGTTTTTCAATTTTACCATGTTTTGAGGATTAGCCTATTTGCATTGAATATTCCTTTTTAGAGCATCGAGGTATCTTAAGCGATAAATTTTCATGGAGCTCCACCAACATAGTCTCTTGCATGAGTTGCAGCCAACCCTTTTTGTTATTAGAAAAAGCAAAAAGAAAGGTAAACATCCTTAAAGACTCCCAAACCATTTGTTTGATTGGTGGGCCTTCCACTTGCAATTTACTTCATACCACCAAGCTAGTGGCCCTACTTCCAAATGACAAATGATTTTTGTCATTAAGTTGACCGGAAAGAACATAGCCATAGGAAGTTGTACTCTGGCTCAAAGTGAAAAGGGGAAATGAGAAAGCATGTAGATTCTCGCTTGTGGACTAAATCACAAGTTGGAAGTCTTATCTAATTGAATCTTTAAGCTGGGCCATGCTTATCTATGCTAATATGATAACGGTTTTGACAGTTTGTTAGAAAAAGATAATCCTGTAACAAACATGTGGCTGGGGTTATCATTTCTGATTCCCCAGGTAGATAAATTTTGCTTTTGGGGAGCCCATTTGTCTTTACATATGATTTGCTAGAATGAAGATCAAACAACTTTGGACTGGAGTAGTTTCTGTAGTATTTTAATCTTCAAAAGTGAAACTTTTACTTAGTGAAGACAAATAAGCATACTAACCATAAGGAGGCCCAGGCATTAACGTGCTAGCATTGCAGGGTGTGAGGATTGTATGGGTTTACCACATCACTTGGCTGGTAAATTCGGCTTGTCATGTGTGGGGGAAGCAAGCATGGAATACTGGTGATCTGTCCAGGAACAATTGGTATAATTGACTTCCCTTACTAATATACATCTAGTTCTTGTCAAGTTTATTTCTTAAGAAGTTACTGATAAAAAAATCTGCAAACTTTGTCAGGTGGGTGGCATTGCTTGCATTTGGAGAGGGTTGGCATAATAACCACCATGCTTTCGAGTACTCAGCCAGACATGGTCTGGAATGGTGGCAACTGGACATGACTTGGTGTGTAATAAAATTTCTTCAAGTTACCGGACTGGCAACTGAGGTTAAGCTGCCTACTGAAGTTCAGAAGAAAAGGATGGCTTTCAGCAGCTGAGGTGTCGGCATTGGAAAGTAGTCTTTAATCTTTAGGCCTTCAAAGTTGTTTGCTTAATCATGGTGAGATACTTATTTAGGTGAATGGACGACTTTTGCTGGAGCTGGTACTGCCGCACCATCAGGACTCTAGCTGTGAACTACATTTCTTCAGTTATACACAAATCAATCATCTTGACCTGAACTAAAGGTCCATATAATCAACAGATTATTTTTGCCTCTTTTCCAAGCTCTTAAGCTTTGACAGTGCAACATTTCGCTGTGGATGTCCACTTCAATATAAGTTGAGCCAGGGTTGAAGCACGTGGCAAAACTTGAGCCCAGCAAGCCCAGGCTCCAGAAATGGTTTGCTCTTGGGTGCCCACTGTGTAGAAAATTGAGCAGACTGGGTTCGGCTTGGTTTGCTTGTTTGGTACCCTTTATTGACTTAAATTAAACCTCTAATCCAAGCCGCGCTAACCCAACTTTGGGTCATAAAGCCCATACTTGGAACTTTTAGATATTGGTAACTTGAGCCGAACCATGGCTGATGGTTCAAAAACAACCAGTTATAGTACTGCCATCGCTCCCATCTACCAAGGCAAAACCTTCAAATTTGTTGCATCTTTGTATACTAGACCAAGGAAATATTGCACAAAACATTAATTTGTAATTCCATGTCCTTGGACAAATCCTATGACTACGCACCAGTCTAAGAGTAGAAGTAGACAAAGGAAAGCAGCATCTCGAGCACTGAGTCTCCTCAATTATTATATAACGACCTTCCTCAAAATGACCTCATGGCTTTTCGAAGAAATTCAAAAAGTGAACCAACGGAATAATAAGAGACATGATTTCAACTTGAAGGGAGTCTAAATAAGGAGGACACCCTCCCCAACATTTGGAATTCCCAAGCAAATGAAGACAAAAGGAATAAGAGGGGGCCTTTTTACAATGGGGTAATGGCTATAGTAAATAAGCACGGGAGCAGAAAGCATGATTATGAAGTCTATGTTAAATATTACTTTCCCTTAAGACATTGGGGTAATCGCCTCCTTTTAAACAAGTGGTTTTTGGGTTCATTATTCAATGATCTTCTTATATCAATCCAAAGCATGCTTTCTCTCTTGCCTTCCCTCTCCATGCGAAGGCTGTACTGATACATAGATAGAGAAGAAAAAACAAATGTATCTGATATATAGTAATAATTGATCTGACAAAACAGAAGCACCATAAGAAGAGATGAAGGTTTTGCTTACGTCAACAGAAAGCATGCTTTTCCAAGTGAGAATGTCGTGGTTCCTGTAAACAAATTGACATGCTTCGTTCGCCAATGGAGAATGTGTAAAATAATTGTAAACCCCATCATCTACCTGAGTATTTTGTTGCAGGCCCCCTGCTACTTTCTGGAGTAGAATTTAAGAATTCCATGGCTGGCATAAATTACTCCATCAGTGTTGAGGATTTTATAATTTACAATATTGATTTCAATATATAGATATGTCAATGTTGGCAACTACATCAAATTAACTAATTAATATTATATATATATATATATATAGGCTATTAACTGGTCTGAATGTTGGAGCCTGGAGGGAAGGGAATGTTATCTGTTGTCTTAAAAAGTGATGCCATTCAATTCAAGTTGCTTGATTTAAAAGTTAAAACAGTTCCATGATATCAGAAGAATTTGCTTCCAAAATGATCATTATAGAGTATTGACTCCTGTCATTGCTTAGTAGGAGGAGTAGATACTAAAGGAGAGAATCAATAAAAATCATAATGAAACAAGCTCATATTGATGGCCCCATAATGCAAAGTGAAGAAAATCACACCTATATTTTTGTGCTTTCATAATTTGACTCAAATGCTGTCTATATCCAGGTTCCAAACATTTATCACCTTACTCTTTGAAAAGTCTCATCATGATCATAATGTACCAACTCCTAACTCCCATATTCCCCCATAGACTGCCTCACTTTTTCAGTATCATTTCATCATAGATCAAAACCAACAAAAAGACAAATCAAGCACTGCCCGTTTTGCCACGTGTCTTTACTTGTCACCCTCACCCTCAACCTGTCACAGTTAGCCTTGTTTACCGGGCGCTTCTTTTTCTACTTCCTTCCTTCCCCATACTTCAATGCAGGCTCCAGCTGACCGTAAGCCTGTGAAACCTCAACAATTTCCTCGAGAAAAGAGAGAGGGAAAGAAAGAAAGTCAGAAAAAAGTGAAGCCGGAAAGAAAAAGCAGTCGCCAGGGTGTGTGTGTGTGTTTGTTTTGGCAGCATGTGTGAAAGGGGATAAGTAAATTATTCCATAGGTGAAAAGTTAGTGTTCATTTTCTTTTGGTCCTGTTCTGTGTTTTAAAGAGTTGGAGAGGTGACTGACAGGTTACCGGCTGCAGGCAGCTGTCGGGTGGGAGTGAGGGATCAAACGCCGCACTAGCCTGGCAAAACAGACAGCACGCGAGGTGACTGGGTACGGGGACAACAGGTCAATCACCACCCTCTATTTACCCTTGCAGGGTCTCACAGCACAGCCTGTGAACTGTTGAGTATTAGTCTTTGGACATTTGTGTGCTGGTCCGGTTGATACCCCACATTCACCTCGATTTGGACCCACTTTGCACGCCCTCTCCTTCAGCCCCATGCCTTTACTCACTCTCTCTTCCTCCATGTAAACCTCACACCC